CCCCAAAACCCCAAAACCCCTTATGAAAGAAATCAAATAAATGCTAAATTTTTTAATAACTAGAATAAAATGAATTATTATTGACTTTAAATTTAAATTGTATTTAACGTTAGTGGACCTTTATTTAGCTGCTAAATCATACTCTAGCATAATACCCTTTCAATGATATGCTATTTTATATCTACTTATACCCTTAACACTTACGCTCAGGGTATCTGAGTTTGACTCGGAGTAAATTTACCTCTTAATAGACAATTCTCTTTTTAACTCTTCTTTCTCTTAATTCCTCTAAAGAACTAATTATTGTTATTTTGATTTTAGATCATGCTTTAGCTTTGCTATTCTCGCGAGATTGTGAGCGGGAGGTGGCTTTTTACCATTTTTACGAGTATTTTATCGATGTAAATCGTTTGACTTAAGATGCATCAATTCTTCGAGTTAATTGCCTTCAAGAGATTTCCTCATCTGTTCTTGATCCTCATCTTTAGCATTATTATAAGACAACATTGTCTTCTTTCTCTTTATTTCCTGCTCAAATTCTTGCTTTTTATTTTCTTGAATATATTCCTAAAATAGATTATGCACTTTTGAGTCGAAGAATTTTATCATTTTACTTTGCACATCATCTACATTATCATTTGTGTCAGGAGTTGAATCAAATCGAAAAAGATTTTTTTTTGCTGCTGCTTTTGGTTCTTACTTCATTTTTCTTAGACTACTTTACCTCTAGAATTCTTTTCTAAATACTTTATGAGTCAAGACAACTAATGGCTATACATATTCTTCTTCGGCAATGTTGTTTTATTCATTGAAAAACATGAATGACTCGTTTTCATTGATATTGCCGCTCAATACATTAGGCTGAGTATTCATGCGAAACGTTTCATCTCGGTCAATCTTTATAGCACTTGAATCAACATTAATTACTGTGATGCATGTTCGATCTGCAACTCTATTATCTGACTGCATATTCTTTGACAAGTCATTTTTTAGGCTTATATACTTTTTAGTGACAATCATTGCGTATTGGAAAAAAAGTTATCTTATTTGATCCTTTTGCTCACTATTTTAACTATATTATTATTCTGATGCTGCAACTGGAATACTTGAAAATCCATCCAGATCTTGTATAGATTCCTAAGTAACTAGCCAAAGTGAGGATCCTCCTTTACTGACTCCTCATTGCCTAGACTCTAATATTGGGGATTAATTAGTAAGAATAATCACTCCTGGTTATTCCAAACCGATATCGTTTAGTACTTCTACTCGAGGGGTCTCACTTAGTTAATCAAAATCAACAGGTGATGGAGTAAATTTTAAAGGACTCTGCTAGTCTTATTAATCATTATCAGATTTTATAAATTGAGGTTTCTTAATAACGCTTTTTATTGGATTTTTATAATTAGAATTTTAGCTTTAGCTAATTCTTGTCAATTCACGAAGTGATTGTATCTTTATTTATGAATTCCTAAATGAGACTTATTTCTTCTCAGTTTTTTTCACTTTGATCTTATAATCTATCCTCTATGATTCTAATAATTAATCAACCTCGTAACTCTAGTTTTATTCTCTTTTCTAATCTTTGATAATTTATTGGATTTATGATGTTTAGGATTTTTGTTATAAACTTCGCCTTGATAATTAAGATTGCACTGGATCTTATTAAATATCTTTTGGAAAAGCTAACTCACTTAAATTCTAATTATTTTCTTATTTAAAATTCTAATTTTATACTTTTTCTTACTGCAATGGAGAATCATCCATTACATAAGATATATCTTGCTATTATTGCTATATAAAGGTCTAAGGTTACTCTTGTTATATTATCATCTCACCATCGGTTTAAGTTTCAGTCTAGACTAATTGTATTGCAGAAATTAATTATGGATTTGGTGAAAACACTTATGATTGAGTTAATGATTAAGATTTTTACTAAGCCTGTGCTATTGCTGGTTTTTGGAAATTAATTAGATTATCAATATTCTGAAGGTGTTCATTTGTTTTATTCTTCTTCTTTTTAATATTTAATTATTCACGACTATTATTTGAAAGATTTTCATAATTTGGATACAGGTTGCTGTTCCACAATGGAGGTTTTTATATCTACGGTGATTTTTAATTCTCTGTGTTAAAAACAGTGAAAAAGTGATGATATTACTCATTGCTTATTTTACTGTTACTTCCTATTTACATTTTTGAGGTATTATATTTTGTAGAATTAGGTAATGGAGGTAAATTTTATAAGTGTTTTTGATATGCAAACAAGTTCTCTTACTCTAATGTTATATTAATGCTGGATTCATCTGATAGCGTTGAATTTTTATTACTTTTTGATTATAGTAATTTTTCTAGAAGGGCTTTTTGCTGAGAGACTTAGGATGAAATCCCCTCTGATTATAATATATTTAAATTAACTTTTATTTTTTCTTTCGTCTATATTTGAGGTGTACTAATGCTATTCATAATAATTCTTCTTGGTTAGTGGTCTGATTAAGGAGCACTGATTGAATTATTATGCGGCTTCTTTTTAGAGGTTTATTGTATCGAGGGTAATGGTTATTGATTCTAAAATTAGTTTTTAGCGGGTAAATCTTTAAGATATTCTCTAGTCTATTTCAAAGTTTCATCTTAAATTAAAGAGGATTAAGATCTTTTCTTTTACATTTTACTTATTGCTGCCAGAGCACTGTAATCCTTAAGGAATACTATATTAACAAGAGGTGCGTTATCTTTTTTACGGTGATTTTGATTGCTTTTAATAGTGATTCTCATTTTGGTAGGTGATTATAACTCTGGAAGAATTGAAATACTTTTATTGCTCACTGAATAAGGTGAACTTCTGTAATTCGATGAATCCATGTTGGTGCTCAGCATATAAATACTAAATATTTATTTGAAATTATGATATTAAAACTATTAATTCCCATCAATCCTGTCAAAGCAGGTATTTGGGGTTTTGGGGTTTTGGGGTTTTGGGG